GCCCTCTCCATAGCTAGGATACCAGCGTAAAATAGTAGCTTAATGCTACTGTGTTTTGTATGGTGAGTGTGGAGAACCAGATACCCTTTTTATTGGAAACGAGGCATTCCATCTTAGTCCTCACGGGTGGCAACGCATCTGCATTTTGATTCGTAATCGAGGATAGATGTATATGTCTATGGGCCACAGCGACCACTTACCATCATGTGGACTGTGTGCTCGTTTGTCACCCAATCCTATAAAAAAAGCACAACATCGATATGAGCGACCTACAGCTTTTTCATAAGACCAAAAGTGAAGGACCGCGTCTCAAATTCAAAAGTCATCACTGGCCTGACGCACTGTTGTTGCACTGTTTTGAGGTTCTTGATAAAGCTTATACATCAAAATAATCATTAAACTTAAGTACTACTAATTCATTTTCTGCAAATAGTGTGCCGAAGTCCGTTTACAGTTTAATAAGTGTGTAATGAGATCATTATTTTCTGATTAACGGGTACAATTCATTTGTTTACTTATCGCTGCTTGAGGCAGGTAGACATAATAAGCTGCATTATTAGGATGTGCCGTTAAAAATACATATGAACTGTTTTTAGTGTTCTATACATAGAAAAGAAAACACTTAATCACCTCCGTATATTATTCATTTATTACCTATGAAAGTTCTATGCTGTAAATAGGTATCCGAATAGAATGCCTCATAAGGGGATCATATTAATTTAAAGATGTTAGAATCAACTTGTCAAAATGTTATATTTGTTTACCACAACTCTAAAGACGATCGAGAAAAACAAAAAACAATTTCAAATTGTTATGATGGAAATTTCCTTATTCTCTTTAGATATCTCAAGTCAGCTTATCGTTTAAAGCTAATAAGACAGCGACGATCCCCGCGTCTACCGGCAATGCCGATACAAACCGACTGATCGACCACGTCCAGATGGCTGCAGACCCCGTTCTACAATAGGTCCCATCTGCAGACATCGTGATACTTGGTAATTTTAACACCCACCATGCTGAATAGCTTGGTTCTCGTTTAACCGATCATGCGGGTAGATCTGTTTATTACTTTGCTTTGGCATATGATCTGACACAACTGGTTACCACGCCTACGCGGATCCCAGATGTGGAAGATCATGTACCTTTCCTGTTGGACCTTCTGCTGACCTCTCATTCGGACGGATATCAGGTCTCCGTTGACGTCCCCGTTGGCTCCTCGGACCATTGTCTGATCCGAAGTACGGTGACACTCACGCTCCCATCGTGGTTGCGTACTGCAGGTTGCCGCCGTGTTTGGCATTATAGGTATATATATACACTATTGGGAGGTGATCTTTTTGCATCCTACTTGGAGGCGCGTTTGCTTCTCGCCGGATGATCCCAGCGTTGTTGCTGATTCTGTCGCTGATGTGGTGCTACAGGGAATGGAACTATTTATTTCATCATCTGTGTGGTACCTATCGGAGGCAGAACCCAGCCTTGGTTTGGTCGCACCTGTAAAATTGCATTACATCATAAGCAGGAGTGTTATCAGGCTAGGGCTTGCATATGGACGTATCTGGATGTAAATACCAGCGTTCTTAAAAAGAAGTATAATTCTGCTTCCAGGTCCTTCAAAAGTGTCATTGTCAAGGCAAAGTCAGAGCACATCTGCAGAATTGGCCAGAAACTTGTTCGCCTTCCTTCGGGACTCGGGTTTGATCACAGATCCCAAAGCCAAAATCTGTTATTGGGTTTTTCTGTCGTGAAAATACTTAGTAGGTATCAGCGCAGAATTAAGGAGTTGTTTCACCCCGATATATTGTACCTGAGCTTTGGAAAACAAGTAAAGCAGTTGTTTCTGTACCTGATCTCCCTGATCCAGTTGTATCGGATTGCCGTCTCATCAGACTGTGAGAGCGAGAGAATAGAAAGTGTACCTGTGTTAACATACATACTTCAATATTCTACGTTTATAGCTAGCCTCCATTGAGACTGGCCGCTTGGTGTGTCGGATTGTGTAATTCAAAATAATTTCCTGAATCATAATTACGTTATATTCCAATAATAATGACATTAAAAAAATAATCACTTAATATCTATTTATCTTTATGAACCCTCAATCATATAGTGTGTAAGTGGCACTGTACACTTTAGAACTTGGATTTTCGCTAGACATAATCATCGTTAACATTTGTGCGATCAGTACGCAGTCATATCGAATCGTATCGTATCGTCAGATCGGTACGTACCAAGTTCGTGGATATATTTTAATCACGAATGTTAATTATATAATTTCAAAATACACACGTGCAATTTCATATTTCTGCACACTGGCCTTGTTTAGAACAGAAAGACGCGTCAGCGATACCAAAACAATCAATATTCAAGAGTCATCATTTGTGAAAATTGGTGCAAAACATTCTGCGCTTTTGCACTAGATACCAGCTACAAAGTTCCAAACTACAAAAGTTATAAAACGTTATAAAAGTTGTAAAACTACAAAGTTCAAAGTTCCTGCACCCGGAACTTTGTAGCCGGTATCTCTATTTACTAGGGCACACGATAGGCACAAATTCTGAAAGTTTTATTACTTTAATTTCTAACTTTTATGCCACAATAATATCTTTTGTAAGTTTTTTCGTTAAATTTTATTATTATTTCAAAATCGTTAGAACAATAAAATTCGGACGTGCTCTCGTTACAATTTTTGTCAGAATAACGCCTGGATTCTTTAATGACTACTGTTTTCATCGAAGTAGAATAAGGACTGATAAGAAATTTTATAAATGAATTTTATTTTAAGGGTTAGTACCTACGTGTAAATAATAATTATTTAATGTGTTTTATTATGTTAATATACCAGAATAATTGAATTGAAAAATTATAATTTCTAACAAAACAAGTAGGTATCAAATTTCAAGAATTTTTTTTAACTTAATTACTGTAATTTCCCCCGTTTCAAATTTTGCTCCACTTGTTGTCTGATATCACATATTAGTATTAGAATATTTTTAACTTCTGGGACTTGACTTGCAAGTTTCCTCCCGACGTTTTTATTTATCATCGAGCACGTGAATTCAAGCAAATATAATTCTAAATTCATATATTTTTCTGAAACAATATTTTAGTACAAATACAAACATTAAAAATCAACACATTTGTCGTAATAAAATAATAATAATAATAAAAGTTGTAGTTTATGTGTATCATGTCCAAACGGTTAGCAAGCGTGTTACTGATTGCAACACCATTTTAAGTATGATATTTAAACACGTAGTAGGTCTCCTTTTCCGCCTAGAAGATCATGTGAGTAGGTACCACTCTACATTTCTGTCGCCAAAGAGCAGTATTTTAATTGAAACGAGCATGTGGCTGGTAAATGTCGACCATCACCCATGAGCAACTGCAATACTAGGGGCATCGCAGGTGCTTTGCCAGTTTCAAAAAAGAGTAGGATTTTCTCTTGAAGAAATTCCACAAGGAAGTTGAGCGAGGAAGAAAACTTCTTGTAAATTGCACAGTGGTGGATCGCCAGTCATCCAGACAGTATGTTGTGAAGTTGTAATTTTGTCGCGATGTGCGATAGTAAAATTTTGCGGCTGGAATTAGTCCGAGTTCCTCAGAGCACTCCCTGTAGTAAATGCGACAAAATACGCAAAGAGATACAACACCTCTCCGCAGTGTCTGCGAGTCAAGCCGATCAGAAACAACTCGGTTGCCAACGATTCGAACCGCTCTGTCCTAAATGCGAAAGGAGCTGCCAATAGAGAGCCCTAGCCCAGGTGATCAGCACATAGGAATAGTGTTCCATGTAAGGCCAAACCTGCGCCTTGTAAATTTGCAGGCGGTATGCTGTCATTAAATCCTGTCCCACTCTGTTGAGCACGCCGAGCTTTTCAGAGGTAAATTTGGCCTTCTCTTCCAAGTGACCATGAAACTGTACGTCATTCGACATGTCGACGCCAAGGATCCCGACAATGGCTGAAGCAACAAGTTTCTTTTTAGCGGTTAACGCGCAAACTTGTGTTTTCTGGGGATTGAACTGAACTAAATTTAGTCGCTCACAATCAAAAACTTTGTTCAACAAAGTATCGACTTCAGACACAAGTTTAATTCGATACTTGGCAACGTTTTCCCAAAAATTATTGGCACGGCCGGTGTGTAAAGCTTTACCAGTATGTCGTCCGCATAGCAATGAATGTTACTAGTTTCCAACATATCATTAATATGAAGAAGAACAGCGCTGGTGATAGCACGCAACCTTGTAGAACACCAGCTTTAATAGGCTATCCGGTTGCACAATTTCTCTGGAAGCCCATAGGAAGGAAGCTTTGAAAGAAGCGCCACGTGTCAAACCCGATTGAAGGCTTTCGCAATGTCCCAACTAACAGCCACGGCCTCCCACTTAGACTCTATTACCTCCGACCATCTATGAGTCGGTAGATCAGAAGATCACCAGCTGACGAAACCCGTCCAACACTAATCCTAAGGTTGTCCTCAAGGTACTTCATGAGCTGGTATTTTATAATGCATTCCATTATTTTTACAAATAATATAGGTGGGTTGCAAATATTTTATAAATGTAAATGGAAATACAAATAGCTTATTACGATAATTTGGCCCAACTATATATTTTTTTAGATCGGATTTCGTAAGATTTCGAAGTTGTAAATAAATCTTATTAACTATGGATATATACGAGTACCCACAAAACACTTGACGATATTAAACAGTTACAAATATAATAAAGAAATTAAAAACACTAATTCTTTTTTGTAAGTAAACTGAGAGACAGTCATGGTGATCGAACAAATTCGGACCCAAAAACCTTTGCAATATCCGCGTTGAAGCGAATGCGATTTATTGGAGCTCCTGCTTCCCGACGTGCAAAAGTTGGGCCTCCCTTCGTCCAAACATATCACCATCCCTGCTTGCGGCTTGTCTCGCGTGCCATGCGAAACAATTGCCTATTTGTTTTAGTCAGTCGTTCGTTTATATAGATATTGCAGGGTGCGGACTTAAGACCTAGAGCCTCGGTTGTTAGAGACCGACGGACGCGCGCAGCGCACGTCATTACGCACGTCGCGCTGCGCCAGCCGCATAGCGTTGGGCCACGGACGAGACGTGGCATCCTGGCGGGCGCCCCCCACTCGCATACAATTGACCAGTTCCTTTTCCTCCAAATGAATACCAAGCTTGGTTGGAACTGTTAGAACCAAGTGTGTTGAGTTCTCCCCACTCTCCTCTCGAATTCCACTTAATTCGAAGTTATTTGCAAGCAACTCCTGGTCCCTATCGTTTAAGTCGGCTTGCAGCTGATTGACGGTCGACTCTAGTTTAAGGATTTCACTTTTGAATCCTTGAGAGCCATATTGCTCTTGTGATTCCAGGATAGTTTGGACCGTGTTCTCGAGCTTATCTAAACGAGCATCGCATTTGCATACAAGGGTTCTTATGTCCCGAAGTTCTTCTCTGAATGCCCGAAATTCTTCGCGGTTTTGCCGCATTTCTTCTCGGAAACATCGCAATTCCTCCCCGAGGTTTGAAACCTCACTCGAATTAGCAACAGTCATTGTTGAGGGTTTTACCGGCGTTGTGTCTTGTTGCAACGTTTTTCTTTCAACTTGCATACAGGGCAAGCTCAGGATGGCATTAGTGAAGCGCCTACTGCGATGCCTACACAAGCACGATGTAGCTGTTTACTGCACTTTGTACAAGTAACATGAGCGCCATCTTGCGGAGACATGTATTTACCGCACGCACTGCACTTAACTGCCATGATCATTGAGTTTTAATAGTTGATAAAGCTAAATTATGCGTTGATTTATTAGTACACAACGGAGGCGTTAGATGGAGCTGTGTTGATCAGTATTACACGGTATTATATGACGGTATTATATTATTAAATTTTATTTGATGACATTTAAAAATAAAATGTTTTTAATATCTAAATGTTGTTTTCTTACTATTTATTCACGAATCACTAAACACTCTAATGTATCCACACTATATAAGGTTCACAGTACATAGATGTTTAACTTTTGCACAAAATTTCTGACTTAAACAACGTCCAAATAATTTTAAATTTACATTAAGTCTTCTGACTAACTAACTATGTATCTCAGGACAGGCGTCCGTGACGTTACTAATACATCATGAGGTGATCAGGCCTGTAGTTAAACGGGTCTAAAGCTATCTTCCATGAATTCGTGACTACGCCTAAGAAATAGAAGCACCAGAAATTAGATTGCTGGTTTCCGGTCTGAAGTGTAAAAAGAGTCAGTAAAATTGCAGGCTGTGAAGCTCTCTATGTCAGCCCTCAGGGGTAAGAACGTTTCTGTAGTTTTTTTTTTGTATGAGGTTGGCTGCAATTAGTCTATAAACTACAGTTGCCACTTACCATTAGATGGACTGTAAGTTCTTTTTTTTATATAAGAGAGGGAGCTAACGAGCATACGGTTCACCTGATATAAAGTGACTAGCGCTTTCCATGAGCAACTGCAACACCAGGGAATCGCAGGTGCATTGCCGGCCTTATAGAAAAGAAAAAGCTCTTTTCTTGAAGGTACCTAAGTCGTATCAATACGGAAAAATCGCAGGTGGTAAACAATTCCATAAAGAGGTTGTACGCGGAAGAAAACTAGTGAAAACCACAGTTGTGGATCAAGATGGTGTGAATGGTATCGGAGGGTACGCCGCGTAGTGCGTTCATGAAATTTGACGACTGGGATTAATCCGAACAATTCCTCAGAGCACTCCTCGTGGTAGATGCGATAAAATACGCGAAGAGGAGCAACATCTCTTCGCAGTGCCAGTATATTGAACCAAACGGAAAGAACTCGGTCGTCGACGATTCGAGACGCTCTGCGCTGGATGCAGTCAAGTGGAAAGAGCTGGCACTGGGGAACCACAGCCCAGAGATGAGAATAGTATTTCATGTAAGGCTGAACCTGTGCCTTGTAAAGTTGCAGGCATCGCCTGCAACTTTATAAGCCTTTTCGACTTTATATGCTGGCTTGAAATACTGTACCGCTCTGTTGAACGCGCCAAGTTTTTAGAGGCGAATTTTGCTTTCTCTTCCAAGTGACCACGAAACTGCATGTCACTCGATATGTCGACGCCGAGGATTCCGATACTGGCTGAGGCAACAAGGGGAGTGCCTTGAAAATGAGGAGATACGACAAAGGGGTTCTTTTTAGCGGTTAATGCGCAAACTTGTGTTTCTGAGGGTTAAATTGGACTAGATTTAGTCACCCCCAATTCGAGACTTTACAAAGACTCGACTTCAGACACAAGTTTGTCCTGATATTCGGAGACGTTTTCCCGAGAAATATTGGCACGGTCGGTGTATAGAGCATCACCAGTGCTGTCGTCTGCATAGCAATGAATGTTACAGGGTTTGAAACGTATCATTGTTATGCAGAAAAAACGGCGTTGGTGATAGCATACAGCCTTGTGGAACGCCAGCATTAATAGGCTTGTAATTGGAGCATGCACCGTCTACAACGACCTTGATGCTCCGATCTGCAAGTTAGCTGGTGATTCAAATGTACAATTTCTCGGTAAACCCATAGGAATGCAGCTTCGAAAGAAGAACTTTTTGCCAAACCCGATCAAAGGCCTCCACATTGTCCAATTCACTTGTCACTTTAGTTTTATATAAAAAAACAATTAAATCAGATGCTTATTGTTTAGTCAGTTACAATATCTGGCATGTTCACTCGTGAGAAAACTCTCAGTTAGAGGAAATAAAATCGGCCAAGTGTAATCTGTACCTTTCCTTGCACAGATATTTTCAGGTTTCTACTTGAATCAATAAAATATTCTTAACAATTGACCTGGCGAGGACATTTATTTTCAATATTGAATCATAAAGCAGCAGCGTTAAGCTGTTATTATACACTGGTATTCTGTGAGAGCGTGGTCCTTCCCCGATCGAGCCAACCCATTCGTGCTACAACTTTACTAATAATATACTACGAAAATATCAAGTGATTATTTACGTGGTAGCCATTCGTGTTAAGTCTTGAAAATATTTGTATTTATATAAAGATGTGCTTTCATAAGTGACACTGATTTTATATCAAAAAATCTACACGACGAAGATGAATAAGTGGTTTTAAATGATATTTTATTATTATTCATTAAACGATTGGTCGTTTTGTTGATGGTGGTGGCGTTGGTGTGACTGCTGATCATGCGATCGCGGGTTTGAATCTCGGGTCGGGCTAAAACTACTCATCCATAGTCAGGAAGTTAACAGTGTTTCACCTCCATGCAGCAAATTGGCTCAGCGCCTGATTTCTCCGTCTGCGTCTCTCTGGGCGTGTCGGATTGTCCTCCCATCAGATTATTGAGAGTGAGGGAATAGAGAATGCATTTATGCTAGCCCATACAGTTCTTTTTATTCTATTTATTAGCCATTATATAACAATCGTTACAGGCAAGTCATTGGTCACAACAAACTCTTACATTTTTAAGGTGAAATTTGATTAGTATACTATAAAGTTCGTTATATCAAGGGTATGATGTGCAAACGAAATTTTATATACTAAAGTTCCGTTTCAATATTCCATAGTTTAATCTGATTTTAAACATTTTGGTAAGCTATTATACATCAATATTTTAGAAATATTGTTCGCAGTGATCGTAATCCATACTGGGGTCAACATTGTTTTAATTGTGAATATCATGTAAATCGTCCTTCATCATGCAACTTTTTCGAAATACAAGTTGTACTTGTTTCTTTATTTACTAATTTTGTTAACTATTGAACTTTTTACACACCGTAATCACTAATAAAAATTCCGTGCACCAATCGCATTACCATACCCACACACACACAATCCGGTGAATTCTAAACCACTTTTTCCCGGCTAAGTGACTCAACTTATCAATCGAAGCTTTGTGACACCCAATACAGACCGGCGGGTGGATTAATTGAATAAATTTACATTTATCCAATACTATATCTTCACTATTTGCTAATTATTCAAGTAGTTTGCACACTGTCTCGCGAGATTACAACTGCATATATGCTTTAATAAGAAGACTATTGTTTTTACTTGAATATTGATAATTGTTAACGTGCCGTGAGCGTGGAATATGCAACTCAGTAGTGCTGTGATCGCACCCAAAAATTTTTAGACTTTGAGATGCAATGTAACGCTTAATTCGTTAATACATACGGTTTGTTAATAAGCTCATGTACAGGAATAACTTATAATAAAATATATTAAGTATCCTCAAGGTAAAATCCATATTCAGCAAAAGGAATTATAATTACCTAGCTCCTAAGTTATATAATATACTAAATAACATATAATATACTAAATACCTAATCTTTAATCAAAAGTCTGTTCTACTAGACAGAATGTCACCGCCAGCGGGTTGGCGACAGGTAATATCAAACGACGTTGCTTATATATTTTTTAAATAAGGCTCGGTATATTTATAAACAAGTGAAAAGTTTTTGTTGTTGTTATTAATTACCAACCTACCATTAAATGATAAAAAAATAAAAATATGATATTAACTAACTCCATGTGATACTAGCTAGACTCTAGAAGGTACACCAATACCTTGCGGTACTATGAAACAAGTGCACAATAATAATTACGTAACAATTTAAAGCATTCACACGTGCGTGCAACGACTTTTGTGAACTGTCTCGCTCACCGTCCTTAGGGGGCGTTACGCTTTTTAGGCTGCTTAATCAAAGCTTAGGCTTCGGCCATACCTTCGGATAATTTTGACTGGAGCCGAATATGTGGCCGAAGGTTTTTGGCCGAAAGTGGCTCAAACCGAAGTAATAACTTCGTTCGGACAATGTAACTGTTTCAGTTTTAAAAATGATAAATTTGATTATACAGGCGGAATTAAAAAATAACAATTTATTTTTCTCATTTAATCAACTCAATAAGTTTTATGAAATATTTGCATGCAAACAAAAGCTAGAGTTTATACGAAAAAATTTCAGAAATGCAGGTTTTACGTAATTATGCGTGTGTCTTTTTTACATACTATAATTCTGATCCTGTGTGAGTAAGGTGTGTAATAATCCAATTTGCGTAGTTTTTTTATTGCAAACAACGTTGCTAAATTCTAACGACACGGTTCTAAAAATTTTGTTTTTATTTACAGACGTCATTTAAAAGGGTATCGAAAGATGCACCGTGTGTACAAAAAAATACAAAATTTAAAGCCAAGGGCGACAAGTTGCTTCAAAAATTATTATGTTTATGTATTGTATACTTATTTTTTTTAATTTCATTTTATACTAATCCCTAATAAAGAGATGGAACAATTGTAGCTCTAACTTTTGGTTTTGTAATTATTTTCATGTCCTTTTTGAGCTCTTACTTTTTTTTTACCTAATCATGTTGTTTAAAGCACCATTTATTTTTTAAATGTTAAATAGGAGGCTAGTTTGTACATGTATGGCCACATATTCCTAGCTCGCAGTTCCGATTGGAGAATTATTGTTTCATATTTGGTAATGTAAAATTATTCTTTATTTTATTATTCCTGCTTTTATATTTTGCTTGCTTGGCTTTGGTCATCACAGAAAATCAGCTTTTTGTTTAACGTTACCTATGATAAGTGATGACATTTTTGGTGTTATGTAAACAGTACACAGCCTAGTAGGCTGAGTGGTCTGTGCTCATCATTCATATGAAACGTCACAAAAATCGCAATAAATTAAACGAATATTCCTGAATAAACGCAACGTTTCGCCTCAATATACACCAAATGTTCATATCGTATTTAATGCACAACTATTTTTAAATTTAATTCGTACGAACCATACGTTTACGTTAGTAATTTAAATGACATTTCTGTGAAAAAAAGAAATATGGCTCTTAGTTACAAGTTTTTGTAGAGTTTTTTTTGTTTAATTTGTAATGCTGTTTCATCAAATGAAATAAATTGGAAGTAAAAAGAGCGCAAATATGAACTCCACTCTCGCGCAAGTGTAGCTTGGCGCTTTTCTTTTTTATCTCTCACTTTAAATATAAGCCGTTGTCCTTTGCCCTGCAGTAAGACTCATATTAGTTTATATTTGAATATTAATTTGTAAAGTATTTTAAATACAAAATTATTGACTTCTGAGCTCTAACTTAATGGATTTAATAAGCATATTGATCTCGGATTAGATATCTTACTCATCACTAACAGTTATTATAGCGGTTTCAGACTAGCGTATTTTTTTGCGCGTATACGGTCGTTTCAGCATACGCGTTTATACGCGCTACATTACGCGCTTCTAAAAACCATACTCGCGTAAACGGGCATATTTCGGCGTGTTCGCTCGCACCGGTGGTGTCGTGTCAGTATCAACATGGATTCTGACGAAGAAACATTACTATTTGCGTTACTTATTCGCCGTCGACTGAGACGACGAAAAAAATGCTGGGTGTCACCGATAGTTGCATCAAGACTGATGACCGGTCACTTTAATACACTTTACCCAGAACTGCGAAGTGATTCTAAACGATTCAAAAATTACTTTCGAATGTCTTTGAGCACTTTTGATGTATTGTTAAATATATTGAAATCACAGTTAGAGCATAAAGATACTGTGTTAAGGAAAAGCATATCTGCTGAAGAGAGGCTTGCGATCACTATAAGGTGAGTATTAAAAGTCAAATGTTTACGTTTACAAAATTTATTTACGAAATTAGTTATTATTTATGAACAAATCTTGAAAAATTTCTTCACCATCCTCCGGGAACTGGTGCTCTGAATTTCTATGAATGTAGGAAGTAGTAGAAGTAGATGGCAATGGAGTAGACGAACCGGGTGGGGGGCTTGCGATTGATGTCGAATTTGAATACTGACTACTCATAGAAGTAGCTCCTGTTCGATAACCGTATTCTGAATATGACTTATTATAATCTTTATATCTCTTCATAACACACATTATATCATATTTTAAATCAAATTTACTACTCGGATCCATATTTTTAAAATCTGGCAATAATGATTTCTTATATTTACGCGAACACTACACGTTGAAATAATACTAGTTTTTACGGAATTTATCGCGTATATTTAACTTTTTAAATACCCGACGTTTCGAACGCTTTACAGCACTCATGGTCACGGGCAGGACTGAGATGTTCAACGTCCGTATGTCATAGTTAACCGCGGTTACCATAGATTAAAATTTAACTTTTGTTCCGATCTATGCAGTATGAACTTATGGTATCTTGAGGTCTTGCAGTTGTATGCTTGGGTTGGGATTTAATTTTATTTATTATAGGATCCCAAGCAGACGCTAGCACCTAGCCATCTTCTCTATTGAAATTAGGATGTTTTTTGATTTCAATAGCCTCGCGAATCATCCTTGGAAGGAATCGGTGTTCTTTAGCGAGGATCTGCGGTCTATCAAATCTGATCTACATCAGGTGACGGGGGCGATCCTGTACGTGTTCACAGACTGCAGACTTCCCGGAGCGTCGATTCTTCACATCAGCTATATGTTCTTTAACGCGGTTTTTATTGATCTTTTAGTTTGTCCTATGTAAGAGAGACCACATTCACAATCAAGCTTGTACACTCCTGCATCTTGCAGAGGGACATTACACTTGACCGATGGTAAAAACTGACCAATCTTCTTCAGCGGCTTGAAGTATGTTTTGATGGAAGCGCGCTTCAAGATGTAGCCAATCTTGTCAGTGACTCCTCTAACATATGGCAGTACAGCAGGTACACGCTCGACTGTGGCCGGCTTCACTCGTTCACTGTGACGTAGGCGCGGGACTCGAAGCTTGTTGTCAAAAACTTGCTTGACATGGTGGAGCTCTGCAGCCAGGTGTTTACTGTCACAGTGTTTCAGAGAGCACGAGGGATCTGTGACAGTAAACACCTGGCTGCAGAGCTCCACCATGTCAAGCAAGTTTTGCATGACAACAAGCTTCGAGTCCCGAGAGTAGGACAAACTAAAAGATCAATAAAAACCCGCGTTAAAGAACATATAGCTGATGTGAAGAATCGACGCTCCGGGAAGTCTGCAGTCTGTGAACACGTACAGGATCGCCCCCGTCACTACATCAGATTTGATAGACCGCAGATCCTCGCTAAAGAACACCGATTCCTTCCAAGGATGATTCGCGAGGCTATTGAAATCAAAAAAACATCCTAATTTCAATAGAGAAGATGGCTGGGTGCTAGCATCTGCTTGGGATCCTATAATAAATAAAATTAAATCCCAACCCAAGCATACAACTGCAAGACCTCAAGATACCATAAGTTCATACTGCATAGATCGGAACAAAAGTTAAATTTTAATCTATGGTAACCGCGGTTAACAATGACATATGGATGTTGAACATCTCAGTCCTGCCCGTGACCATGAGTGCTGTAAAGCGTTCGAAACGTCGGGCATTTAAAAAGTTAAATATACGCGATAAATTCCGTAAAAATTAGTATTATTTCAATCTGGCAATAAAGATAACAAAAATTGTTTGTCCGGATCATCATTGTCTGCTGTTTCCATATTTCTTTTCTTTTTATTTATAATATTATCTGCTAAGATTTTGAACAAATTTTCTTCATTTTTTCTTTTTCCTGACGAGCTAGACCTAGTTGTTTCAACAGTAATATCTGAAGCATCATTACTATCAGCGTTATCATTAACGCCATCTTCAATGTTTACAATTTCGTCGTCTGTATTTTCTTGTTCGTCTTTTTTTAGGTTTTGTTTCATACAGTGGTTTCAAAAACAATAGATTATTCAAATAGGCGTAAGGCTTTGGCTTTTTTCTGGCTCCAGAACCGCTTTTTAAATGATTCTTCTTCAGTTCTCGTGAGAATGCATCTCTGATGCTTTTCCATTTTTCTGAATAGTAGTGCCTGAAACATGTATTTTAATAAATTTATAAATTAAATATAACATAGAAGTTGTTGCAGGTCTTCGGTTCTCTATACTCACCATACACAGTACATCAGCATTAAGCTGCTACTCAACAGTTCCCATTCGTGCTACAACCATAATATAGCTGCAGCGTGGCTCGACCACGTACAAAACATATATCAGCAGACTGTAAACAGGCTGCTAAAGAAGGAACAAGAAAGTATTACGTTATTGTATTAACAAATACTAGTGGTCGCTCAGTTGTAGAAATTCAGCCGTCATTCAATAAACTTTTGGGTTTGTATCATATTAAGTAAACTGTTTTTCACTTTTAATTGCACATTACGATTTTTTTTCTTTGGGATTCACTCCACACATCATTAAAAAAGAACATTTTATATCACACAAAATTCACAGGTAATTCAGTCATTATAAGTAATTATATGCGGGATGCACATTTACCGAGCTGCATTATTCATACAAATGTGGGATTTCTACAGTATCAAGCATTGTGCGGGAAACTTGTTTAACAATATGGAATTCTTTGAAATTTATATGCATGCCACCAACATCTGAAGAAGAATGGTTGAAAATTGCGAAAGGCTTCAATAGTACCACAAACTTTCCTAATCTTCTAGGTGCTATCGATGGCAAACATATAGAAGTATTTCAGCCGGCTCACAGTGGCTCACTTTACTTTAATTATAAGCATTATTTTTCTCTTGTGCTATTAGCAGTTTGCGATTCAGATTTTAATTTTATTTTCATTGACGTGGGTTCTTACGGAAAAAGTGCAGATTCGCAAATATACAAAAACAGTACACTATACAAAATGATTAATGAAAAGTCATTGAATATTCCTAAACCCAGATCCTTACATAGTTCAGGCGAGCCATTGCCGTTCACATTCATTGGCGATGAGGCTTTTGGGTTGGAAGAAAATATGCAAAGACCATATAGTGGCAACAATTTGTCACCAAAACAAAGAATTTACAATTACAGACTATCCAGAGCCCGCCGCCATATCGAATGTGCATTTGGGATTCAAAAAAAAGACGTTACAGTATAAATGACATTGTAAAACGTAATCCACTGCTAAAATGTATATCCACTGCAATGTGAAGTTGTCAACTGAGACGCGTGCGTGCGTGGTCTCCGGCAGAGGGGGAAATGGGCGCGCGGGGAGGTTTTCTCTCGCAGCTCGCACTTATACGAGCTTAAGCGGGCTACATACGACACGATATCGGTTGCGATCTAGAGTGGAAAGAAATCGGGGCTTTTATCGGGGTAGACCTTACACACGGGCCTGCCTAGCAGTACGCGTTCGGACTTGGAGCGGAATGCATATGCGGTAGAGTTCTTCAAAATACCTCCAACTCTCTTAAAACAGTTTGGCATTAGCCATCTCGGTTAATTTATTCGAAAATAGAAAAAGAGAAGTTGCTGGGTGAAAAAATGGCTCCAAAAGAGATAAAAATTAAGCCACATAAACGTACTAAATGGCCTGTAATCCAAGGACGTGATTAATTTTCTCCGGATGGATGAAGACAGTTTTTATAACCTTCTAGAAATGATTTCGCCACTTATATAAAAACGTCAATTTCTCCTACCTATGCTATTTAGTTATTTCTTCTCTTTGTTCATTTCTGCTTTGGTCAAAATCTGGTTATGTATTACAAACAACAAACAAGGAAATAAAATACTTTTGTATAATAATATGTATACTTTTTTTTTAATGTAATCTTTATTTATGGAGTAAAACTATCAGAAAATAAAATAGCTTATATCTTTTTTTTAAACATAAAGAAACCTTTAATTTCGGACATACTCCCTTTTATATAACTTGTTTGTTGATGTGGAGATGGTGAAGGAGTAGAAGTTAGTTGTTGATAAGAGGATGAAGGCACGTAAGAGATCGAAGTGTGGTCTTGTGGAGTTGTAAGAGATATGAGTGCGGTCTTGTGTTGATAGCGTTGGAATAGGAGTTAGTTGTTGAGGAGAGGCTTTATCTTCTCCTTACTTACATCATACACTCTACTTTACGAAAAAAATTAGTTTAGTAGGCATTCTTGACCATGTCACTTCGCAGGGTCACAGGCTAGGGTGGATATGATTTGAATTTCGATAAAATTTCAATTAATTTATTTCTTTTATTCACTTTTTTTTGGTTTTTTGTAAAATATCAGTGCCATAGGCTTCTACTCCGTTTATATGATTAAAATGTAAAAATTTTGCTATATAAAAAAGGTCATTCAGTATCACTGTTTTGTTAACTTCCTTCCGCGAGGGTTGCCGGCAGCGACTGCCAAAAGAAATCGGGCCAATGCGCCTACACACACGCAGTAAGGAGGGGGCGGTGCCCCGATCTAGGAAGCATCGGCTGATCTAGGAAGCATTTTTGCTCCTGCCAGCCGATTAAGGAGGCGATATCGGCCACGACTTAGGATGGCCCTACATACGACACGATTTAGAGGCAATCTAGGAGGCATCCCCACTACTCCACCCTAGATCGCCACCGATATCGTGTCGTATGTAGCCCGCTTTAGAAGCGCGTCAACGCTCGTACGAGTCGGCCGTGACCTACCTTGGGTGCCGGATTGACCGGGCGCTGCGCTTGACTGCGCACGTCGACCTCGTCGTCCGCAGAGCACGATGTACGCGGACGATGCTTCGTCCGGTCCTGGCATCGTTCCCACTTAACACCAAAGTGCGAGTTTACAAAACATATATCAGATCCATCATTACGTATGCTGCTCCGGCCTGGTAAGCGCTTCTGAGCGAGCCTCTGAGGCGGCGACTGCAGGCCCAGCAAAATATGGCGTTAAGAACCATCGTCGGTGCGGGTCGCTACGTCCGGAATGACGTCATAGCGGCCAACCTGAAGATTGACACCATCCAGGAGTTTGTGGCCCGGTTGGCGCGCGGACTGTTCGACCGTGCAGACAACGGGCCACACCTACATCTTAACCAACTTGCGCCGCTACACACTCGCCCTCCGGACGGGCGACCCTATCCAAGAGAACTCCTCTCTATATCGATTAGAGAGTCGAGTAACAACCCTCAATGCCGCTGAAAGGCCAACTCCGACTTTATATTAGACAACCTCTCTTTTTCCCGTAGTCGGTTAACTACGGGAAAAACTAACTAACAACGCCAATAGAAGGCTCCCAGGACCGGTCCATAGTGGTGGACCGCGAGGATAGCACGGGTAATGGGGGCATACCCCGAGGCCCGAACCCTACATGTCACATTGGGGGCATGAAGACGACAATCAACGGTTCGTACGAGTCGAGCGTGTGACAAAAGGCGCGCCTATACGCGCCTACATGCGCTTCCAAAAACGAGCTCATACGCGCGTATAAAACGCTAGTCTGAAACCGATCTTAAATAATATTTGTTGGAGATGGAAAGTTTTGTTTTATAACGGTATATAATCAATTAATACGGCGAATAAAAGAAAGTAAACAATCAGTTATAAAATCAAGAATGAAAGCATGTATACATGTCAAGTAAATTAACAAGTAAATGGCCAAGTAAATGAACTTCTTTTATGAATAAACTACTTTGATTAGTACCTACTGTTTTTTGTAAGCACATTATTTTGTTAAAGGCTTTAATTCTACTGTGTTTTGTTATTTTGGTGTTAGTTTCGCAAACATGCAAGATATTCATTGTCTATGCATAGTCTGAGATTCGTTTTTGATTATTTAATCTTAATGTCATGAAAATAAGTAATTGCTAATATTTTAAAATGGATTTTACTTAAACCTTTTTCCAAGTGAACATTGACCTTTATATTATTCCAGTACGTTCAAACTCAAACATTTTATTGCGTTCATGTGGTTACATAAATAGTTCTTAAGTTGGATATGTTAGAGCCAAACATGAGCCCTGATAGGGCGTAGCAATATTATATTTTATTTTGTTATTTATCAATTTAATGTAATCAATTTAGAAAGAAGAATTTTATTTTATTTACTTAAACTACTTACGAGGGTGGATTGAAAAGTACTCGGCCTAACACAGATCCATTCAATTCTAAAAATCAAATCTACCCACATTATTTAGTTCAGTTCAGACTAGTTCATTGTGTGAAGTTCGAAACGTGTGCGATAATTGAGGAGGTACTTTTCAAAACTTGACTATTCCACTTTTTGTGTTTTTGTATAATTTAAAGAAATATAATTTTAAGAGCACAGTTATGTGTTTAATATAAAATGTTGATGAATTATAATATACAACAAAAATAGTGATTATTTTGTATGACTTTCAAATTTTTTGCAGTAACATAATATAGAATAAATCTAGAAGTTTAAAATGGAATAATCAAGTTTTGACTCGGCTGATTGGAATAATCAAGTTTTGTTATGTGCTTTAAAGGAATAATCTAGTTTTGATTCAAACCATTGTGGATTAATCTTATTTTGTTGAAATTAATTTACAATGGTGTTTTACTTGATAAAATTCTTTATTCATTTATTATATCATTCTAATATTATATGTAATATTATTTAATAACTTTATCACTTTTTTAATTTTGCGTTATTTCGGTTGCAAAATTAAAGCAGAACCGATTTCTGTTGCGCCCCTATTTGCTTGTATTTCAGTCCATAAAGGATTTTTAGTATTTTTGGCTACAATGCAAAATATATAAAAGCTAATCTGTCGACTGAGAAAAAATATTTGGAAAAAACATGTTTTGTTACAATTTCCAGTGATAAAAAAAATATCTTCTGGATTAATCATGTTTTGTTGCAATTTCTTAAATCCTTATTTTTAACCTTCTTTTTTTTAGGAATAATCTACTTTTGACGAAATCATGCGTTTTTAAATATATTTTTCTAGTAGATCTA